AAAAACTCAGAGAGGAGCCAGCTCGGGCCGCCCCAGGCACACTTACCTCTTATAGTAGGCCAGCTCTTCCTGCAGCAGGAACACCTTGGACTTGACGGGGTCTCGCTTTTGCTCAGGCTGGTTTCGAACTCCTGAGCTCAAAACAATCCGCCCGCCTTGGCCTCCCAGAGAGTTAGGATTACAGGCGTGAGCCACCGCACCCGGCCAAGTTCAGTGTTAACATTCACGATGTTTCATGCAAAATAAATAAACCTAGTCAAAACTCACACAGCTAGGTTTTTGCATACAAGTATGAATCTCACGGTGTTACTTAGGGGACTAAACCAACCTGCTGTGTCTTAAAAGTACTGTCAGCTGTTAGAACAGTTCTGGAAAAATATGCCCTTTCCTTTGCATAGTTCCAGTACAGAATTTTAGTATCTCCCAAGTCTCAGAAAACAGCCTTGCAGGAATAACACCTTTCTGATTTCACTCACATTTCATTTACAAAGTGTTGCCTATTGTGGCACCAGAATTGTGTCACGGGTCAGAGTTGGTAGGTTCTTTAGCTAAACAAGACTGCCCTGCTTCAGGGAGGCATAGTGAGATACCATCAGGAGAAAAAGCAAATCCACTTCAGTATTTACACGGTGAGCTCAGAACGTGGATGGAATTTAAAAATGCATGCTCAGATCCCAACTCTGTACATTCGGGCTTCGTGTTACATGGGCTCTGGTAACTTTAAGAGAAAAACAAATGGTGCAGCTCTTACGGCAGGGACTTGGGCAGTAGCCGTCAACGTGACAAAGGCATGTACCTTTGACCTAGCAATTCCACTTCTACTTTATTCTATAGATCGCCACATGTGTGTGAAAGCGTGCAACAGTTTTTGAGGGTAAGGGATTTGGAAAGAAGCTACCTGTTCATCAGCGGGGCCTGCGGATAGACATTAATAAATTATACATCTGTACGATAGACCAGGGTTCCTTAGCCTGAGCACTGTTGACATTTGGGGCTGGTTGTGGAGCTCACTCTTGGTTGTGGGGACTGGGCATTGTAGGATGTTTAGCACTATCCTTGGTCTTTACCCAGTAGATGACAGTAGGCTCCCCTCCTCCCCTTTAGTTGGACAACGAAAAATGCCTCCAGACATTGCCAAATGTCCCCTGGGGGAGCAATCACCCCTGGTTGAGAACCACTGTTTCATGTATAGATTATGCCGCCATTTATGTAAAAAAAAAAAAAAAAAAGTTACACACACACATGTGTATACATGTATATGTGTGTATGTGTATGTGTTTAATGTAATTGCCATGTATAAACTTTCAGGAAAGATACCAAGAACTTAGCAACAGTGGTTACCTCTTGGAAGGGCAACTAAAAGTGGCAGTAGTGGGGCGACTCCTCAGTATACCTGCTTCTAGATTCTTTGAGAGTAAATTCGAATACTTCTTATGGGCAGTCAGGTTTGCGAACCACTACTATGAAGCAACGTTACCCTGTCTGATCATTTTTTTCAGCAGTCTGGAAAACAGTCTGTTCTAGATTCTGAAAATCCCCCTGATGGTTTCAAACTGTGGCAGATTGTGCAGAATGCATCCCTGTCCGTCAGACATACTTGAGTGCTGTTAGGAGGTGCTACCTCTCTCAATCTGTGAGCACCCCGCCCTGCACCCTGGGTGCTCCTCAGGTGGAGAGAAAGATGGTGTCATGCGGGCAAGTCTCCAGCTCACCAGCTGCAGTCAGGGCATCTGGCTCTCTGCGGCTGCAGCCCCGTGGTCCCCAAGCCATCTTCCTACTTAGCACCCTCGCTCTGCTCAGTCTCCCCCTCCCCTGATCCTGCGTCACCGAGGCTCTCATACCCTGTGCCCAATCTGCTTTGGGATATTTGTCTTCTTTGAAGGGGACTAAGGGTTTGACATAGTGAATGATAAAAGGAAAAAAAAATGCACACAAGAAATGTTGCAGTGTCTCATCCTTAGCAACTTTGTTTGGTTAGTACTGCATAACTCACAGCAGATTCCAAGGCACGCTGCCTTGAACATTGCTACATGCTCTAGGCATTATCCGGAACAAACCTAGGGCTCTTGCAAAATTGTCGCCATTCTCTGGGTGGGAGGACTGTCACCCACATTTTCTGTTGCTTTGTGTCTGAGGTGGGCCAGCAGCTCATCCTGTGACTTCAGAGGCCCTGCCTATCGATACATTCTATATAATACGCTACTGTCATCACAGTTTCATGAACATAACTAATGAAAAGCTACCCCTTCCCTGCCTTCCACTGAAGTATGTCAAATGTGATAATAAAACCTCTACACATAGAATTTTATACAAAGCAAGTCAAATAGCAATTTACAGTGGCAAGTGATGTATTTGGCTTCAAGAAGCTTGTCTTACTGAAGTTAATGCAAAAGTCTGGCCTCAGTTCATGGGATTATTAAATATATATCCTAAGGGATCAGAGTCATCTATTATAAACGGCAATAACCCTGGGTATAAATAAACATTTCTTTAGAGTTTGGCATCAGTTTTTCAACATCCATCCTCAAAGCAGACAGTCTGTTTGAGGGTCAGTTTTGAGGGTGCATTGGCACCGAGAGCTGTGAGGCATCGCACTTGGGCTGCAGGTTCAGCTGCAGGTGCTGGCGGTAGACAGTCCAGGTCGGAGGGTGGAGACCAAGGTCACAGGTGCTGCAGGGCTTCCTGTCCTTGCTCCGTGTAGCCATCATCGCGGTGGGTGTTGGCCCACTGTCCAAAGGACTCCTGGATGTGCACGTTTCTCTGTGTGTTGGCCACGCGCCTCTTATCTCGGGAGAAGAAGCTAAACCTTTTGGAAGGGAAAGCAGAGACAGAAATGAGAGCCGACCCATGGCTGTGCACTTCGCATTTTTTGCAATGCCAGAGACATATAGCAGCAAACTTGGGAGGGAGCAAATCAAGGTGTGAAAGAAATTTTGGGGGTGAGGGTCAAAGTCATTCTAAGGAAGCAGCGGGGATTCTGCATGTCATTTGGTCACGGCACCTTGGAGGTCACACAGTGTGGGCAAGGCATGCGCATAGCTCATGTGTGGGGTGTCTTCTGCCTTAGCCACTACGGGGGTCCTTCCCATTACCAGTGGAAAAAAGAAGCTCCTGGAAACAAAGCCTGGGTTTCTTTAATTACCTTAATGATGCGGAGAAAGGGATACTGAGAGCCATGTGGAACATGAGATGGTTCTGATGTAAGCAGTTGAATATTTCCAATTTAAATAGTTATGTGTTTATTTAATGTCAATCAGGAAACCATGGCCCAGATTTCATGGACATTACTGCTTAGGAGGCTAAAGTAAGTATTTAAGTAAAATAAGACAATTAAAAAATAAGTACATCATCGCAGTACACATGGTTCTCTGATTAGATAAACACTGAATATAATATGCAAATGAAATGTGGGAAACAATCAATTTGGACCTTCAATAATGGATTTAATGGTGAAAGCCTGTGGAATATATCGCCCCCTGCAAGTAGCTGCAGAGCAACAGCTAATGGAGCCCAAGAGGTCTCTTTAAAACAGCTGTGACTCGTGTATTGCTCAGAGGGAACCATCAGATGCCTGTAAGATAAAGGCAGAAGTCACAAGCAAAAAGCTTGCAAAGTGGCCTACTTTGAGATCACGTAAACAGAGACTAGGACTCTGGCTGGTGAACTTCAAATTGGCCCACCTGAGGATTTCCCAAACTCTCTAAGCTGCCATCTGTCCTTCAATACTACCAGGCTTTAGTAAGATTCCTTCTATTGTCACCAAGTTCTTCTTACTCTTGGAATTTTGGCTCTGAACTTGGTAAGAGATATAATATAATCGGTATGTTATGTTCCCTGGGGTGCAAGAATAGGAGTGAAGCCTCCAAGAAATCAAAGCTTCAGACAAACTATTTTTGGTTCCCTCTGTCTGTTCGCCTGTTAGCATCTTTTAGTGCTGTGGCCTACAGAGTTTAGTCTGAATCACATCTGGGTGAAAATGATTTTACTCTCCTGGGTTACTGGATCCTACAGTCACTTTCTACCAGGAATAAAGTGTTCTTTCATCATCAGGCCAAGGCAAGCCAAGTTTACCTGCTGAAATTCTCCCTAGCAATTAAGGCGTCTTTTCTCTATGGCATATGTGTCCTGACAAATGAAGGCACGATTGTCATGCTGGGTTATTTGTGAGCTCTTTCCATAGGGTAACTGGGGCAATTAGCTGGCCAGAAATACGGCAGCAACACATCCCTGTTAGGCGTCACCTCTGCCTGACTCAGGTAAGCAGGAAAGCCACTCAGCACTTCCCCCACAGACAGCATCAAGACACTGGTCCCCTCCTGTGATTTTCTTTCTTTAACCAGATCAAATGGCCGAGGGCTTGGCAAAACAAAGCAGTTTAGAAAGCTCCGGCGTGAAGACGAAAAACACGGTGTTAGTGTCACTCGGGGACCGCAGTGGGCATTGATTACTGACCCGTCACTTAAAGGACCTTCTTTACTGGATCATGGGCAAGGTGGTTTTAGAACAGAAACAGAAGAGACAAAAAGAATTATCGGTGACAGAGCCGAGAATTCTGAGGTATTGCTCGTGCAGACCGAGCTCAATGAGTGGCATGTTTGAAAATCACACCCGATACCCACTTCACATGGCGACACGCCGGTGACGGCCATGCAGCTAAAGTGGCCAGAGGAGACAGGCCAGCCCCAGCAGCAGCCGTAGCAGACATTCCAAAGGCACAACCCAAACAAAACCTGAAACACACACACGCACACACGCACACACACAGTGCCTACAAGGGAAACAAGTCGTCGGACAGGCTGCAGGGTGGGGTCATCTATTATCAGTCCAGCGGCTACCATGGGCATTATGGCTGTAAAGATCCTGGTTCGGAAAGCACAGATAGACACAGAGAAGATGAAAACGGGGAGGCATGAAAAAGAAACAGTCCACAGACAGCAGCTGAGGGTTCGCTTGTGGCATATGTTGTGGGCTGACCTGTGTCCCTTGCCTCCAAAGTCATACGCTGAAGCCCTAAGCCCCAGTACCTCAGAAGGTGGGGTCCGTACAGGTGTAACTATTTAAGATGAGGTGACACTGCAGTAGGGTGAGTCCCAATCCAACATGCCCGGTGTCCTTATATACGGGGGAGATTTGGACGGAGACACGCACATGGGGGAGGCCACGTGAAGATGGCGGCAGGTACTAGTGCGATGCTTCTGCACCAAGGAACAGCAAGGACGGCCAGCCCGCCCCCGGGAAAGAGCCCCTCTCACAGCCTCAGACGGAGGTGACCCTGCCGACACCTTCATCCCAGACTTCTGGCCTCCAGGACAGTGAGACAGTGCATTCTGTTGTCTCAGCACCCCCGACTGTGGGACTTTGCTACTGCAGCCCTAGAAAATGATACCGTATGTCATGGCCACCAAGGGACGACACAGTGGCTCTCAGGGGCTGAAAACATAGGCGTGGCTGTGGGAAGGAAGGAATCTAAACGTGTTTTGGGAGGCTGTGGTGACACCCATGCTAGGGGCTGTGTGCACTTGCCCAGCCGCCATGAGCTGCGGGCCCCGTGCCCCCAAGGCGGCCAGGTGAGGCCCAGGAGTGACCGTGAGAAGCGTGAGGCAGAGAGAACTAAAGCTGAGAGCCAGCACGACCGTCTAGGACGCTTCCTCAGCCTTCTGGACAATCCGAGCCAACAGTGACCACTCACTGTGCCTCCGCTGGGCAGGGGAAATGAAGACGAAACTCCCACCAAGCCACCAGAGCTTGTTTTGAAAAGCTATGATTTTTTTTTTTAAAAAAAGGTTGGCTGGGAAAAGATATAATTGTCTCAAATGAGGTTTGGGGATAATCTGGGTGTTTGGATCACTTTTTCTTTTTTTTTTTTGAGACATGGTCTTGCTCTGTTGCTCAGGCTGGAGTGCAGTGGTGTCATCATAGCTCACTGCAGCCTCAAACTCCTGGGCTCAAGTGATCCTCCTGCCTCAGCCTCCCAAGTAGCTGGGATTACAGGTACGTGCCACTGTGCCCAGCCTAACGTTTTTAATTTTTTAGAGACAGGCTGGTCTCTGAAACTCCTGGCCTCAAGAGATCCTCCTGCCTCAGCCACCCAAAGTTTTGGGATTACAGGTGTGAGCCACCACGCCTGGCCCAGGATCACCTTTGATGCACTTCACAGAGTAGCTGAGAGGTGGCATCCTTGCAGAACCCCCAATGGTGTCTCAGGATGACACAGAGAAGGTGGAATACCTTTTACTAAGTGAATGGGCCCAATCCCCAGAGGCCAGGCTACTGGGCAGTTAGCTTTCCGGGGGCTCCCAGCCACACCATTTTGCACCCACCTTTGCCAGGACACCTAAACAGGGCACCCATAAAGATAGAGTCATTGTGAGGGAGGTGGCCCCAGACACAGGATGGATCTTTTTCCTGGAAAGATGTTTGTCCACCTGGGAATGCTGGACTTCGTTTGGGGCCGAGGCGGGGGTGAGATGGACACAGGGCCCAGGAACGCCTGGAGTGTTCCAGCCGAGTTGCTGTCTGCGTGTCTTGCTGGGCTCACTGTGTGGGCAGCCCCCTTCCCTCACTGTTCCAGGTGCTGCCCTGCGGAAGCTGCCTACCCTAGAGGGACAGCCATTTCCATGAAAAGACTGACTTGTTTTGGCCAAAAGTTTACGTGGTGGATACACTGTAGCTAGTTTTAAACCTCCTCACACCCCCCGCCGATTATTCCTGGAGGACTGAAACCAAAGGAAGTTCTAACAGTGGCATTTCAGGCAATGTAAGGGGTGGCTGTGAAGAAGCTATTTCTGGGCTGAAGAGAGGGAGGGAGGTGGTAGGAGGACAGGGACAGACTGCACGGTGGCCGTGACCACTTGTCACCTGCATGGCTGCCTACTCCAAAGCCAACCTTTCCAGTTTTCGAGGCCAGTTCTGACCTGTTGTTTCCCCGGCCCTCCCTCTGTACCCGCCGCTTGCATTCCTGTCTGTGGTCAGCCCTTGCCCCTGGCCCGTAGAAAGCAGCTGTGTGTGTCTGTGGAAGCACGACCGAGTGACGGAGACCACACGGAGGGGGGCGCTAGTGTCTGGCATTCACTGGGAACAAGGCTGAGCTCACTCTGGCACTCCCTCGTGACCTTCCCAGGCAGTGCCAGGCCGTCCTCTCGGGCCAGCAGCTGCTCAGTCACAAGCTATTCTTGGAACATCTTCTGGGCACACTGTTTCCACTGGCAGCAGGGGTTTCTGGTTCCCTTGTCGAGTTCAGCCCAGAAATGTGGAGTCTGACGACTCTGACTCACAGTGTGTTGGCGAGATAAGGGGCCGGGCCGTCAGCCCACAGCTGGGGCCGCAGGGAGGGTAATGAGGAAGCAGGGGGGTGGGCAGGGGGGCGGCCAAAGTGAGAGGATCCCTTGAGCCCAGGCATTCGAGACCAGCCTGGGCAACATAGTGAGACCCCATCTTTAAAAAAAGTTTAAAAATTAGCCAGGTATGGTAGCCACACCTGTAGTCCCAGCTACCTGGGAGGCTGAGGCAGGAGGATCGCTTGAGCCCAGGAGTTTGGGATTGTGGTGAGCTATGACTACACCACTGCACTCCAGCCTGGGCGACAGAGTGAGCCCCTATCTCAAAAAAGTAAAAAAATTTAAAAAAAACAGTGAATAAGAAATTATAAATAAAAAACCAAGAGAAAACAAAGAAACAATAAAAAAAATCAAAAAATACAATGGAAAAAAGAAAAAAACGAAAATAAAAATAAAAAACAGAAAAAAGGAAAATAAAAAAAAAATTTTATTTAAAAAAAAAAAGTCAGTGGGCTTCTCCAGGCCTCAGTTTCCTCATCTGAGGAATGGGGATAATTGTCCTAGCTCCGGGTCCCTGACAGGGTGGCAGACACCTCGGTTCAAGTGCTCTGAGCTGGTGAAGCCCCTTCAGGCCTCCTTGGTGGCGGTTACTTACTGCTGCAGCACGAGGCAGGGGAGAAACTGGTCAGGGCCACGGCGCTGCGCTGGAAAGGAGCCGTGGGCCGCACTACACAGACTGCAGCGCGGCAGAGACCAGACAGACCCAGATGGGTGCGAGAGAGAAGGAAGGAAAGGGGGAAGGGCTAAGAACCATCTGAACAACTGTCACCTCCCTACCCTGCCCCGGCCCAGGGAAGGTCTGTCCCTGCCCAGACCCCTCCCAGCCTCTGGGCTCGCAGGCCGCACGGATGCAGCTCCCAGTCAGCATTTGAGGTGGACAAAGGCAACCAGTGTCCTACCCGTGCTGGTCAAAAGCCTTTTGTGCCACTTTGCTCTTCCAGTTACATCCCCGAGAAGGCCGGGCTGCCCCGCGCCTGGCCACCTGCACCCCTGGACGGGAGGTCCTGGTCATGCTTTCTGTCCCGTCTTTCTCTTTGTCTGTCTCTCGGGCTCCCTGATCCCAGCTGCTTCCCTGCCGGGCTCAGAGCCCCAGGTCTTGCTGAGCAACCAGAAACTAACCTAGAGAGGGGAAAAGCTCTGAAAATGGAGCCCCCAGGGTCCTTTCTGGAACAATTTGGGAAAGAAGGGTGGACACCACAGCCTATTCGAGTGTGGACAGAAGAACTAGTGGAAAGATTTGTTGGCTACTTCTGAGAACTTCCCTCTGGACTTCACCCAATCTGAGATTTTCAAAAGCTAACTCTTAATTATCTGTTCAGAAAAAGGGGGTTGGAGAAGAAAATTATAGTCAGAAAAACCTAGCTTTGGAAGGAATCTTTAGAATTACGTATGACCGTGGGTGCCGGAGGCTCTGTAAATTGGGCACACTTGAACTGAAGATGCTAGAAAGTCTGATTCTTAAAGACCTGGGAGCTGCAGGTGTGGAAGCGTGTGAGCTGGACCCTGCTCATGCTCACGCAGGAGTGGGCTGGCAGCGGGGTCAGAGTTTAGGCAAAGCCAATTTCATTTCTTCCCAGGCAGCTGATGAGAAACCCTAGCCAAGGATGAGAGTTTTGCTGGGTAGCAAGTTCTGCCCAGGATCAAAACTGAAAGGCTTCCTCATCCTTATGATGAGGCTACCGTGACTATCCCATAGTTCTGTCTGCCTAGCACTCTGATCTTGCTTGGGGACCTGCCTTTCCCCTAATCTCAGTCCCCATGGACTAGATGAAGTTGAAACTACTCTAAGCTTCAGGGGTGAGAAGGAACTGCAGACCTGAACATCGATGTGCTGTCCTGTGATTGGTTTAGGGATGGTCACATGATCCAGTGAGAGCCAATGGAACGTGGTTCTGTGACTTTTGTGGAACTCTTGGGAATAGGGAACCTGACCTGGAGACCCAGACAGAAGGAAACAGGACCTGAGCTGAGGGCTGCACTCTGCCATCCTCAGTGTGGGGAGTGTGCCCAAGAACAGAGCCCACAGAGAGGAAAACTACGTGAGGGATGGAGGAAACGGCCTGCACCCAGCTGAACCCCAAAGCCAGAGCAACCTGGGAATTTTTGGTCTTGAAGCCCTGGCCGCAAGTGATCCTTCCGCCTCGGCCTCTCAGAGTGCTGGGATTACAGGTGTGACCCACTGCGCCCGGCCTGGAATTTTTGGTTACTTAGCCAAATTCTTAAGTTACTTCAAGTTGAGTTTCAGTTGCAAATGGAAGATTACTAACCACTCCATGGTCAAAATGGTGTTGGGACCCAGAGGAAGCTTTTCTGGTTCCACTTCTTCCCTAGGAAGTATTCATCTTTAACCAGAACTGGGGACCATACTCCCTGCCAAGGCCAGCAGGGATCTGGGGGCAATCTAATAAGCAACTTGAATAAAGCTGGCAAGAGGCTTGGAGGGGAGCCACGCATCGACCCACACACTCTGGGAAGCTGTCATCCATTCCCGCGGCCACCAGGGCCCAGAATCTGAACAGGGCACCGTTTTCTGAGAGGAGAGGGCCCAGCAGTTACACCTACACACATTCTGCATTGAGTCAACTCACAGGGCAAGAACCAGCTAGGAGTTTCCAAACATAACTGGATTTTAAAGGTTGGGGCATACGGGCGATACTCCACACAATAGTCCTGGCTTTCCGGCCCGTGCCCCCTGCTTTCATGAAGCTTCTGCTGGGTTTCAAGGGAAAGAATGGAGGCCTCTTTCATAATAAGCCTTGCGTGGAACTGGAAGGCTCAGAGCCAGGAAGACCCTCACAGGGGAGATAAGAACTACAATACTGTAGGCACAAGACCACCCTGCACGGAGTTTAAAATGTGGGCTCTGGGGCCAGGTTGCCCGGGTTCAAACCCCGGCTCTGCCTCTTATTAGCTATATGACCCTAGACAGGTGCCTCAGTTTCTTTATAAAATGGATGACAGTGCCTCCAGCTCAAAACACTATGGTGAGGGTTCAACGAGATGATCTGCCGGCACAGTACCCAGCATGTAGCGGGTTCTTAGTAGATACTGGCTATCTAACTAGACCAGAGGTTTGAGCCCTTTATCTGAAGGGCTTCCAGGGTCCATGAACCTCCTGAAATTGTACATAAATTTTGCAAATTTTTTTTTTCCAGGGAGAGGGTCTGTGAACCTTCAGCAGAATCTCAAAGGCATCATCTGTTGATGCCAAGAACCATGAAGTGGCTTCAAGTCTAGCTGAGGGAAAGGACTAGGTCATTCTTTTTTGTGTCCCCTGCGGCAACCAGGGCCTGATTGCACATATTATGCACCAGTCAACACTGAATGGATAGACAGAGGGTTAAATGGATGAAGCCTCAGAGAAATGCACAGATGGGGTGGACCCAGGGCCATTCCAGGCATCTCAGAGTTGGGGTTTTGAGCCCTTAAGATGTGCAAGCCCCCCACCTGCCCAGCCTCATGGGCTGTCCTCAAAGCCCAGAGACACACCCTGCCCCACCTGACACACTCAAGCCTGTTCCTCAGCATCAGCCACAGGCCCCAGCCTCTCCCCGACCCGCTAACCTGCCCGCACCTCTCTGCCAAGACACCCCCGGGAGGAACTCAGCATTCAGGAAGGGAGACAAACTCAAAATCCGGGGCCAGGATAAACGTGCTTCGGGGTTAAGCACGTCTCAGCAGGACGTGGTTAGTGACAAGCCTGGCCCTGGGAGCAGGTGCCTAGGAGAAGAAGTCAGAGGACAAGTGAACCGCCAGGTCAGCCGTGTGAGGAGCAGCCCAACACGCTGGAAGCGCATCACTTACAGTCGCTTGATGCCAGACTCTGGCTGGGGGGACATTCTCGAGTGTGCAGTGGGTGGAGGCTGGGGTATCCGATTTTCCTCTTCCATTTCTTCACTGGAAGGAGATAAGAGGCATGAGATTTAAAAAGTCAAAAAATTCCATGAGAATTAGAACATTCCAGAAGAGTACTGTCTGATGGGGACCCATGTCTCTATTTTCAGTTTATTCTGAAGAGTCCAGCCAAATAGAACCACTCCCTGTTTCCTGTCCTTAAAAATGCTTCCTTGTCTCTACTCCTCTGTGGTTTCTTCTACCCAGAATATGCTGCGAACATCTCTCATACCTAAATATTATCTTATCTTTTTGGGAAAGCCCAGTTCAAATGCCACCTCCACTAGGAAGCCTTCCTGATTTCTACCCTATCTCCAAGCCAGAAGCGATCTCTCCCATCTTTGAACATCCAGTGCACAGTTAACTTTTTTTTCTTTTTCTTTTAGCAGTAGGGCCTGGAGTGCAGTGGTGTGATCATAGCTCATTGCAGCCTTGAACTCCTGGGCTCAAGGGATCCTCCTGCCTCAGCTTCCTAAGTAGCTAGGACTACAGGCGCGTGCCACCATGCCCAGCTAATTATTTTATTTTTTTGTAGAGATGGGGTCTCGCTTTGTTGCCCAGGCTGGTCTTGAACTCCTGGCCCCAAGTGATCCTCCCACCTCAGCCTCCCAAAGTGCTGGGATTCCAGGGGTGAACCACTTCGCTCAGCCCCATAAACCTTTCTTCTGTGCCATGTACACAAGTGGGTCCCAATAGAAATGTGTGGTGTTGTATTTTCTGTGCATCTATCTTCCCCACTGGAGTAGGGACCACATCTGGTGCATCTGTCCTTCTAGCTTTTCACTCAGCAGATGTTTGCTGTGCACCTACTGTGTGCTAAACTCCGAGTGCTGGGAGCTTGGCTATGAGCAAGATGATAAGGCTCTGGTCGCATGTTGCCGACAGTCTGATGTGGACGATAAGACAGGCACGTTCATTAAGAGGATAATGCAGGGTGGCCAAAGGACCAACAAAGTAAAACTGGGTAAAGCGAAAGCCAGTGACTGGCACAGGGTCCCCCTCTGGACAGGGGGTGATGGGAAGTCCTCTCTGACATTTGACCTGGTCCCTGAATGAGCAGGAGTGAACCACAGGAAGAGCCGAGGTTATGTCTTCCCAGCAGTAGGCGCAGCGAGCGCAAAGGTCGCGGGCGGACCAGGGGCACACGCAGAGGGCGGAGCGCGCGGCTGGACGAGGACGAGGGGCGTGGTATGAGACGGTGAGCCAAGTCAGGGGCCCCACAAAAACCCCTAAAACCCATCACTCATCTGGTGGCAAAACCTGAATGAGCTCTCGTGACGCTGTTGATGACCTTTATTTATCCCACTTAGCACGAATGTTCACGTCTCTGCTGTAAAAACGTAAATGTGCTCAGTATCGGGGTGCCGCCCAGACCTCGCTGGCGGGGTCAGGTAATTCACGGTACGTGTGGATGTGTCATAGTCCTCCTAAGGGCTGAAAAGTTCTGATTTATAAAACGCCTCTGGGCCCAAGAGTTTCAGAAAGAGATCGTGAGCTCAGCGCTGTAGCCACGGGGGTACCCAGAAAGGGCACAGAGGAGGTGCCTGTCTTCCAGGAGGCAACTATAAAAACTCAGAGAGGAGCCAGCTCGGGCCGCCCCAGGCACACTTACCTCTTATAGTAGGCCAGCTCTTCCTGCAGCAGGAACACCTTGGACTTGAGCTCGTTCCTCTCGTGCAGCACGTCCCGCAGTTCCTGCAGGGTGAACCGGGGGCGGTTGGGGTCCTTCAGATCCATGGCCGCCTTCTCCGCGTCTGAGACACACTCCTCTCCAACTGGCTCCATCTGGAGGAGGCAGAGATGCCGCTAATGAATTCCTGGCAGCCGCCAGCGGCACCCACTCTGTATCCTGATGGAGCCCGAATTTCCCACCTCCTGGGCTGTGAGCAGCCTGCCGAGGGTGCTATTTTAAGCACCCGCGGGCGGCCTCTGCTCACGTTCTGTACACTTTCCCTCTGGAGGTGGAAGCCCGCGGCCACCTGTCCATTGTTCGCCTTCTCAATAGCCGGACCGCAGTCCCGGCACCTCCCCACCCGCGGCAGGGTTTAATTACGAACATTATAAGGCATCCAAAGAACAAACATCCAATACCACCACCCTCATAAATCTGCCTGCTTTCACCTCCCAGGTTCTCCTCTCCTATTCTTACTAAGACCATTGCTAATCTGGCCAGAGTGGAATCACAGCCTGCATGCAATTCTAGATTCCCTTTTCATGTGACATTAAGTCATACGCGTTCTCCCATCTGTTACTGGCCTTCCGGTGAGCCTCTCGTCCTCGATGTCTCTGGGCAGCTTGACTCTGGAGTTCGGTGGAAGCCTGGTGGGGGTGCACTTGGGCACTTCTCCTCAGTGAGGGTGACACAGGTGGACCCCAGCATCATGCTAAGTCACCTGCCCCAGGTCAGAGCTACACCCATCCTCCCGCCCTCCATAGCAGGGGAGCCCTTTAAAAAAATTGTGAAATACACATAACATTTGAGCCTTTTGAAAGCATGCAATTGCGTGGCATTTAGTATGCTCACAATGTTAGGCAGCCACCTCCTCTTATCTAGTTCCAGAACATTTTCATCCCAAAAGGGATATTTTCGAGGTTCATCCATGTGGTAGCACAAATCAGTATTTCATTCCTCTTTACGGCTGAATACTATTCCATCGCACGGATACGGCACATTTTCTTTATCCATTCTTCAGTCGGTGGCCCTTTGGGCTGTCTCTACCTTTTGGCTATTGTGAATGGCGATGCCAAGAACCATATTTGTTCTGACACCTGTTTTCAATTCCTTTGGATGTTGCTGGGTCATATGGTAATTCTATGTTTAACTTTTTGAGGAGTTGTCAAACTGTTTTCCACAGTGGCTGCACTATTTTACATTCCCACCAGCAATGCAGGAGGGTTCCAATTTCTCTACATTCCTGCCAACATTTATTTCCCATTTTTCGGATAGCAAGGATGTCTCTGCAAGCTGCTTCCAATTCAGCTGGCCCAACCTACAGGTGGCCCACACTCTCAAGATAGTGCACTGTCCCCGACACCTCTGAGCCACAACACCCTGTGATCAACCAGGGTGGACAGAGGTTAGGACGGCAGTGGAAAAGCTCCAGAACAGGCGAATGGGAGATGGAAACAGACTCCCCACCCCAGGCCCCCAAGAAAAAGCTCCCAGTGGCACAGGGAGCCGGGGACTCACTCCAGTGTGGATGTTGCCACAAGGGCAGGGGCCAAAGGAGTCCAGGAGGCAGAGCTGAGATGCTTCACATCCTGGAAGAGTCTAGGACGAGCTGTTCTGGGAAAGGACACTTGAAAGGAGACACCACCCACATGGCAGATCAGGTGACAGAGTAGCACAGGGCAGGCTGGAGTGGGGGGAGCCGTCTGACCCTGCCCCGCCAGCGCTGAGCCGCAGCAGCAGGGGAGGGGCCTCGAAGGCGGCAAGAAACTGAAACCGCGGCTGCGGTGAGTGCCTGGGCGGCTGAGTGGGGCCTCTTCCCACCTAAGAACTCGGGAGGAAATGCTGGAGGATTGAATTTCCCAAGAAAGTATTCTCAGCGTCTGCTCATGCCACACCTGCAGGTGGGCTGCGTCCTCAGGGGACATCGTCAGTGTCCGGCTTTCTCTGCACTCCTTGAACCCCCCGACAGCTACGTACTGGGTGTTCTGTACCCAAGACCACATACAGCAAGTGACTGATAAACAGCAGGCATGCAGTAATGCAGTTCCCTTCTCTTCACCAAGAAGCAACCTTGGGTGTCTAATATTTATCCAGCATTTATTGAGCATTAACTTTGGGCCCTGCCGGTTGCTAAGCTCAGTCCTCGGAACAGAATCAAACAGATGAGGATGAAGAGAAGATATACACAAATAGACGTTTACAAGGTCACATAGTCAAAGAGGTGCAGGGACATCCACTCTAACTGGAGAGAATCGGGGGAGATGTTGCTCAGGTGTGGTCTCTGTGTATGGGGTCTTGACGAATGTGTAGGAGTTCACCAGGAAGTCTGGGCATCAGTCATATAGACCAGAAGTTGTAAACTAGGTCCTCAGACCACATCAGCACCCCCACCCCCACACTCTGGTCCTCACTGTGTCCTAAAACTCTATTGGCAGATCGCGCCACCCTGGGCCCACGTTCTCCCATGGCAACACTGGGCTGATGCTGAGGAGCAGCAGCTCCCTTTTCCACGTGCCTTCTGTGGCTGCCCACGCCCACCCCTTTTCCCTTCCCCGCGTGGACCCCTGTAGGCAGCAGCGGCCCCTGCTGTGGACCCAAACCTCCCTCCTGCCCCTCCTTCCCCAGACAGTTCAGGCCCCGCCTTCCACAGCAGGCCAGGCACTCACCTCTCTGTGTCTCTGCGAGGGGCCATCGGACAGGGGTCCTCACACCTTGGGGCGGGGCGAAGTCCTCCAAGGGAACTCCCAAACCTCCGCCTCCCAAGAGGTCTTTGGGGGAGCCACCTGCTCCCCTCTGGGCCTCCAATTCCCCATCCAGCCCTCGGGAACCCAGTCATAGTTCCGGAGGCCCTCCCACCCAGACACCCGGGGATTTCCGTGAACACACGCTTTCGAAGCCGCAGCAATTCCCTGCTCACCCCCGAAAGCTTTCACTTGCCCAAGACACTGCAGGGCTTCCTGGGAACCTGAGTTCCTTTCATCTGGAGAAGGGACCTGATTCGCTTAGAGCCTGGGGTACTCCCAGCCAGGTGGCTGCGAGCGCAAGGACAGCCCGGGCCAATCTGGAGGCCTCCAGGCAGCGACTGCAGTGCGTGGACAGCCCAGGATTGGCCTGTTCAGACCGAGAGGGACTAAGAAGGCTCGTCCCGAGATGGCAGTCGGGTCCCATCAGCAGTGGCCCTTCTAGGCTTACTGCATGAGGCACCATAGGTGGCCCGGGTTATCCCAGACAAGCCAGGGCCTTCCTCGGGTTGCTTGCTGGTCCCAGGAGGCACTCTGGGCACCACTGAGGGAGACACCCTGAGGCCCCGGCTGCTCCCCAGGGAGGCCCAAGAGACCAGCTAACAAGCACTGGGACCCGTCCAGAGGCCTGAGGGCAGTGACATCATGGATCCGGGCCTATCCCAAGGCCTGGCCTCCTGGGATTGTTCCTCGCTGCCTGGGCGCATCAAAGCGCCCTCTGCTCCCATAGCCCCTGGCCCTGCGAGGGGGAACAACTGTGCTCTGGTCACACTCGGCACCTGCTGCCTATCGTGCATAAATCCAGCCCTCACTCCGGTCTGCTGTCCCCACACAGGCAGAACCCACTTTATAAAAAAAGGCCTGCTGAGAAATCAGAACTCGTAGGGCAGAGGCATCTAGGAGATAGTTATTAATTTTACTGTTTTCCTACTGTGTTTATTTAAAGCCTTTAAAGACAGGGAGCCCACCGCTTTTTCTTAAGGACTAACATGTCTAGTTGTGAAAGGCAGGAAAACCTCTGGTTAAAATACAAGGAGCTGGAGGAACTAGAGAACGTGCTGAGGGAAGCCAGCAGGACCCCATGTCACAGGACTGCGCTGATGGGAAACGTCAGCACAGAAACATCCACAGAGGGCCCGGGGCGGGGGGACGGGGGAAGTCGCTGCTAATGAGCAGGGGTTGCTTTCTGGGGCAGTAGAAATGTTCTAGGTAGCGGTGATGAGCACGCAATTTAGTGAATAAACTAAAACCCCTGGACTTTATACTTTAAATGGCTGAATTGTATGATATATGAATTATACCTTAATAAGGATGTTATAAAAATAGAGAACCCTGTCTACTGGAGATGACACCGAAATGACAGTGACACCGCTCAGCAGGGATCGTGGGGCAATGATGAGAAGATTCCTCTCCAGCTCTGGATCCCTCCCTAGCTCCCATCTCCCCCCGCCGAATCCTGCCCTGGGACGAGCCCCTCCCCGCCAGCCGCACGCTGCACGTACTCCTGTCTGGCTCTCGCTGTCCCCCTTTCTGGAACGGCCTGTCCTCGTTCCACCCCTGGACACCCTCCCTCTCCCACAGGACTGCCCGGACGCTGTCGAGCCCTGCCCTGCGCCCCGCTCCTCGTCCCGGTGCCCTTCCCTACCCCCACAGTCCTCCCTCCCAGCCGTGCCACACGGTGATCCTCCTGAGTGAAGTCAAGGTCATGCCCCTCACGCATCAGACGAGGAAACCGACCACCAAAGACACGGACGGGCCCTGGTCACACGGTAGCCGGTATTTGAAGCCACCACCACCTGCAGTTCCCCGTGTGACTGACAAGCATCCCGAAGCACGCAGCTCCGAGGCAGGGAAGCAGAGCCAGCCTGAGTCTGGGAGCGGACTCTGCGAAGCAGCCCGCGGGGTGCTCATCACCGCAACCTGACTCGTCTCCCCGTTTCTTCCCCACGACCTTGGCTGCCAGACAGGGAAGCTGAAACCAACAGGCCATCAGGCCAAGATGTGAAATGTCCCTGTGCTCGTTGCTGAAGAGATCTGGAACAGAGCTGGGAGTCCTGTGGCTGGGGTGACGTCCTCGAGACCCAGGTTTGGACCAGGCCCTGCCTGGCCACGAGGAGACAGGCCTGAGCCCCCGTGGGGCCTGCGGGCTGGGACGGGTACACCGTGGAGAGGGGGCGCGACCTCCCCAAGCGTGGCCTAGCGGCTCTGTTGTTGGCACTGGCCTCTTCGCCTCCATCCCACTCCCATATTTAAATTTTTTCTTAGAGATGGGGTTTTGCTATGTTGCTCAGGCTGGTCTCAAATGATCCTGGTGCCTCAGCCTCCCAAAGTGCTGGGATTACAGGCGTGAGCCACTGTGCCTGGCCCACTGCCATATTTAGTCCAGCCTTCACCGTTCTCGCCTGGTTACTGCAAAGGGCTCCCGACCGCCACATCTGTCCTGAGCGCTCCCCTGTTCACACCGTCCTCCATGAAACTCAGCTGATCCTAGCTCTTGCCTGCTGAAACCCTGTGAATGGAGCCACACCTCCCACTACTCAGTTCTGGGTGGCACTCTCAGCCCCAACACTCTGGCAGCTATTGTCTCTGCCTGGCCCGCATTGGTCCCCACACTCCTTTGGGCCTAGTCACTGTGATTTTCCTCTGGAGAAAGACCACGCCCTACTTCCAGTCCATGTGGCTTGTGCTGGCAACCACTAGGGGCAGCCATGTGACTCGGGAACGGACTGTATGCATATTCTAGACAGCTGGCCACCACAGTTGGGTCAGTGATGGGCCAAGGAGAGCATTCCCTCTGACTTTTGCTGGGATTCTTGGGGAAGAGGCAGTTTCTTTCCACTGGGGTTGCTCAGCTGGCTGAGTACCAGGGGCCACTGTAAGGCAAGAGCCTACCTGAGAGTGACAACAACACGGAAGAAAGCAAAGCCAAGAGAAGGTCTGAATCAAATTCCAGACAGCATCATTTGGGCACCTGGAACCAGCTATACCTGAAGCCATCCTAACTCAAAACTTTTCGTTACAAAGCCAATAAATTCTTATCTTCTCTTCCTTAAGCCATTTTAATTGAGGTTTACGTCACTTTTAGCCAAAAGCAGGCCCTAACCTCTCCCTTTTAAGACTTCTCTCCCTTACCTTTGTGTGTATCCCAGATTGCTACAGAAAACCTAGAAGCGACTGGCCTGAATTCACAGGACATTTAATGGGTGCTGGGACTTGAACCCACCTGCGAGCTTGTCTGTCTTACCTCCCCTACCTGTGACCCAGGTTACTAGCACAGTGTCTGCAAACCTTAGACAGTTAATACGTATTTGCTGGAAGAAAAAGCAAGCCCTGAGCATTTCCCTAACAGTTCAGTATACTTTTCCGAAGCAGCACGTCCACTTTCCACATTTCTACCTATCACTATCTTGGCATTAACCACACCGACACCCAGCCTAAGGAATAGCTCTTCCATGAGTCCCCACATCACCACCCCCTAAGGATTAACTGCCTCAGCCTCTGTGTTCCCGGCACACTCTGGGGGCACATTTATGCGGCAGACACCTCTGGTGCCACCTTACAGCCCTGGGCCTCCCTGGATTTTCGCTGCAGCTGTAGTGGGCCGTTCCAGCCATGTAGACGGGACATTTGCACTGTTAGGCATCCATCACCACCATCTAATTCCAGAACGTTTCCATCACCCCCAAAAGAAACCCCATACCCATTAGCAGCTACCCCCCCATTCCTCCCTTCCCCCAGCCCCTTGAACCACCAATCGACTTTCTGTCTCTCGATTTGCCTGTTTTGGACATTTCATATAATCGGACTCATACATCACGCGGCCTTTGGTGACTGGCTTATTGCTCGTAGCATCGTGTTTTCAGGGTTCATCCATGCTGTGGCATGAATCGGTGCTCCCTTTTATGGCTGAATAATAGTCCACTGTGTGGCTAGACCACATTTTGTTTATCCCTTCTTCAGCTGATGGACATGTGGGTTGTTTCCGCCTTTTGGCTATCATGAACAATGTTGCTATGCACATCGATGTAAAAACTTTTGTTTGAACACCTGTATTTAATTCTTCTGGGTATGTGCCCAGGAGTGGAACTGCCGGGTCACATGGCAGTGTGTGATTACTAATGTAACATGTCTCCCCTTCTAAACTGTAAGCCCCGTGTGGACAGGGACCGGGTCTGTATTTAGCTCACCATTTTATCCTCTGTGCCTGCCACACAGTCAACAATCACTGGAATGAATGAATGAATGAATGAATGGCACCCAGGAGCCATCACTAAGTGGAATGCCCCAGGCCAGAATGTTCTAGGTCCAGTTCCGCCTTTACCCAGCTGTGTGTCTTCAGGCAGTAGCCGGTTCTCTCTCCCATTTTGTTACGTATCACGGAGAACACAAGGCAACCGTGCCTGGAGCCAGCCCCCAGACTCGCCTCCCGCAGCCCCTCCGCACCCACCTCCTCACCCACCCTGGCACCCACCTCGGGCTCCTCCTGCCCGTTCTGGCTGAGCTCGCCCTGCAGCCTCTCTCGCAGCTTCCCAAGCTCCGACCGCAGGTTGCCCATCTCCTGCTCCTTGGTCTGCAGATCCGCCTCCAGCTCCACCTTCTGTTCGATCAAGGCCTTCCCTTGGGCCTCCACCACTGTGACCCGGTGCCGAAGGTCATGGTTGATCTTCATCAGCCGTGTCTGTTGCTGCTGCAGCTGTAGAGACAGGGAGGCCACTGTGTGGGGCTGCCACCTGCAGTGGCTCAGGCTGTGCACTGCACAAGGGCAGACCATCTACAGGTGGGCCATTTACACCATAGACATCTTTGTTTGAAATTTGTTCATATTCTCGTAACTATTGATACCAGAGATGGGCAATTTGTATATTTACTATGATAATTTCATGGCAGATGGGGGATAAGAGTCCTGTTAGAATTAATATAGTGTGGCAATGTCCTGACAGATGGAGGGTACACGCGTGGAGAAGGGGCAGCGTTTCCTAACTCAGGCAGAGACGACGTGTGGGTTCCCGGAGCAGCGTGACCCCTGCTAAGTGGCTCGTAGGCCATGATGGGAGGGGGTGAGCTGGAGGAGGCCTCAGGGTCAGAGCAAAGGCTGATGGGGCCTCAGGACCTCCCTGGCTGTGTTTGGGCCCCTCAAGCCATAGGCAGGATCCCCCACCCCATGGAGCCCAAAGAATGGGACCGAGGGGGGAAGGAACCCGAGTGGAGGATCTAGTCTCTTGCCGGTACCTACTGGCCGGGAGTGTGGGCGCGGGTCAAGGGCTCGTCACTTACAGCCTCGACGTCCTCATTTTTCAGGCCAAGCTCCCTGTCCTTGGCACGGATCTCGTCACGCTGCTTGTCCACCACCTCCTTCAGCTTTTTCATCACCTGCCGCTCCCGCTCTGACATGCCTGGGGTGGGGCAGGTGGGACCGGCAGGTGAATCGACCCCCCACACACACTGAAACCGCCCTGCGGCTTCCCACCGAGAATGAAACTGAAGTCTTAGTGGCCCCCAGCCTCACCCTCTACAGCCTCCACCGCTCCCTTCGCCCACCCAGCGCCTGCTCTCTCTGTTCCTGGGCCCCTCCAAGCTCGTTCCCTGCTCAAGGCCTCTGCCCACAACTCCCTCTCTGCTCACTTCTCACCTCCCCGTGGCTGGCTCAAATGTCACCTCTTCGCAGAGGTCTTCCCTCCTCTGATCACCCTAGAGTACCCCCAGCTCCCACCCACCCTGTCAGTGTCTCTGTGACCCCAGTCCTTGCCCCCACTTCTTACATTCACAGCACTCTGCACAGTTACTAAGCGTCTTTACGTTCTTTTATCTCACAAAAGATGGTAGGCACGATGGCTCACACCTGTAATCCCAGCACTCTGGGAGGCCAAGGCAGGAGGATCACTTGAGCTCAGGTAGTTCAAGACCAGCCTGAGCAAGAGCGAGACCCTGTCTCTACTAAAAATAGAAAAAATTAGGCAGGTGTGGTGGCACCTGTAGTCCCAGCTACTCGGGAGGCTGAGGCAGGAGGATCGCCTGAGCCCAGGAGTTGGAGGTTGCCATGAGCTAGGCTGACGCCACGGCACTCTAGCAGAGGGGACAGAGTGAGACTGCCTCAAAAAAAAAAAAAGGTTAAGGTGATAAATTTTATGTAATATGTAAGGTGTATTTTCACAGTAAAAAATAACTATCTATGTATACATATATATCCCACTAGATTTCAAAGACTGAATATGACATTAAAAGACTTAATACAAAAAATGAATGCGAAATACCCCATTGATAATTTTTATATCGATTACATGTTGCAAGGATACTTACTATTTTGGATCTACTGGGTTAAGTAAAATATATTATGGAAATTACTTTCATCTGTTTCTTTTTACTTTTTCTAATGTGCCAACTAGAAACGTTACAATTACTTCTATCTCTAACGCACAGTGCCGTTCTGTGCTGCCCTTCAGAAAATGACCATGTGGCCAGTTTTCCTCCTCCCCTGGTGACTAAGTTGCTCCTCCAGAGCCCAAGGTGTTTTTTCCAGACCCTTGAGCATATCTCGCACCCCATCTCCCCAGTGCGAGGGCTTGGACACCCGTGATTCACCCCTGCACATGCTAACAAATAGATTTTATAGCTCGCCCTCCAGCTGACAAGATGCACTTCCAAAAGCAGGGGCCAGGGAAGTGCTTTTCAATCTGGAGATTTCCAGGGGCTGAAATACAGGAAACTTCCAAGGTGCCTCTGAGCGCAGTGCCTGCTGTTAACTGCTGAGAAAGCCACACTGTTCCATGCAGGGCCGGCTCCTCTGAGCACCCCACTCCCGTCCCCTGCACAGGACTCAGACGACTGCTCCCCTACATCCTCAGTCTACCCCTAGGCCTCTGCCCAGCACTTTCTCAGTGTGGCACCTGCCACACGGTCACAACTTCACGGGCTCCACCTTCTCCCAGGGACCCCCCCATCTGCCCAATGTCTGTTCCTCCAGCAGGTGGAAGGGATGATTTTGTCCTTGTGTTCCCATGGTTTCCCATGCAAAATAAAAATAACTGTGAAAGGCATGCCTGGCATCTGCCTGGCTCTCTACTCCGCGGGGGCTGCTGCCAAGTGGCCTCCTGAGCTAACCCTTCAGGAGCCGGACCCGCGCTAGATACCGCTGAAGTGCATCTGAAATCACGTGTGTGGGCTGTTCCATGACAAGCCCAGCAGGCATCTGGCAGCTGTGGAAGCAAAGCAAAGCTCCCTCACGTGCAGGGTGAGTGACGTGCCAAGCAAGCAGCTCGGAGCTTTTGGGTCCATGGCCTGCAGGTCCCCGAGGCCTTTGGGGCCTTAGTGGGACAGGCCGGGGAATTCCCAGGTCACCCCCAGGGGCCTCTGGGTGCCCTGCAGAAATGCCCAAAGTTCAACACAGTTTCCATGTGACCCAGCAATTCCGCTCCTAGGTACATGCCCGCACAAAGCTGGGGCACAAATGTTCACAGCAGCACTGTTCGCAACAGCCAAAGGGTGCAAACACCCCATGAGTCCATCAACGGATGAACAGATAAACAAATGTGGACTATCTATAGAATGGAACATGATTCAGGCCTGGAAAGGAACGAGACACGGAGCCATGCTACAGCGTTCATGAACCCTGAAAACATTACGCTAAGTAAAAGAATCAGACACAAAGGACCACAGAGTGTATGATTCCATTTACAGGAAATGTCCACAAAAGACAAAGTCACAGACACAGACAGTAGATCAGTGGGTTCTTACAGCTTAGGGTGAAGAGGGCATGATGTTTCTTTGTGAGGTGATGAAAACGTTCTAAAATTGTGGTGATGGCGGCACAACTCTGTGAATAGACTAAAAACCACTGAATTGTACAATTTTTTTTTTTTTTTTTGAGACAGGATCTCACTCTGTCGCCCAAGCTGGAGCGTAGTGGTATAATCATAGCTCACTGCAACCTCCTGGGCTCAAGCGATCCTCCTGCCTCAGCCTCCTGAGTAGCTGGGACCACTACTGGAGTGTCACCACGCCTGGCTAATTTTTCTTATTTTTTTGTAGAGATGGGGTCTTACTATGTTGTCCACGCTAGATGAACTGTACACTTTAAATGGTGAATTGTATAGTCCGTGAATAATATCTCAATAAAGCTGTTACAAAACCAATGATGGCAAATATCTATCTAGTGCTTACCATGTGCTAATTACTTTACTGTATATTAACTCATTTAATCCTTACAATATCCACATTTTACAGTTGAAGAAGCTGATTTATGGAAAAGTAAATCATCTTGCTAAGGCTGGGATCTAGCTGAGCTGAGATTTGGACCCAGGCAGTCAGAGATGACGTTATGTAAAGATGTCCTGGTGGGACACAGTGGCTCACGCCTGTCATTCTCACACTTTGGGAGGCCAAGGTGGGAGGATCACTTGAGCCCAGGAGTTCGAGGCTGCAGGGAGCTATGATGGCACTACTGCACTCCAGCCTGGGCAACAGAGTGAGACCCTGTCTCTAAAAAAACATTTTTTAATTAAAAAAATAAAGATGCCCCTACCAAGTCACTTTCTATCATATCCCCTGTGACAGCTCTCCCAAAGCGCAGGTGACCACCTGGAACTATGCCATCGGTTTGTTTACATGTTTATTGCGCCATCTCCTCTGCATGTGGACAGGGTCTCCGTCGTGTCTAATGTGTACTCCCAGGCGGAGCCAGGAGCCTGACAGACACAGGGGGATCTGTAACAGGGTGTGGAACGAACCTGTGTCAGCGTCTGTAAGTCGAGGCAGGGTTATGGTGTAAATCAACATGACAACAGCAGTCAAAGGCTCTGGACATCAGAAAGCACCTCGGACACATTCAGGGACACATTAAGGGAGCATGACGATGGTGATGACTGACGCCGTGGGTGATGACAACAACAGAAACAGCCCTCTCCTCACACCCTGAGCCCACAGCCCTCTTACCTTCGTGCTTCTGGAACTCCTCCTCGGAGAAGCTGACGTCCTTGTGGGAGAGGTTGGTCATGAGCTGCTTGTTCTCCTCCTGCAGCTGGGCTATCTGGGAGAGGAGATCCTGCGCCTCCCCTCGCCACACATCCTCCACCAGCTCCAGCTCCTGCCAAGGCCAGGGCACGCGGTGGGGTCACGGCCTGTCCGGGGCAGCTTGGGCTGTCCCCATCCCCATGAGAACCGGGCATCGGGCAGGTGGGCAGACAAGGCCAGCGCTGCCCGCTTACAGCACCTCTGCAAGAAAGAGAAGGCGCTGCCCCGGGGCAGATGCCTGCATCTCTGCTGCTAGGACTGGCCCGGTTAGAACTGCGCCAAGGACGACCGTGAAGCTGGTTCTGCTATCGACAGAGAAGAGTGTGGCTGAGCGGCCGCAGGCTACGGGGGTCCTAACATTCCCAGCTACCCCTGGGGGGTCATGCCCCTGAACTTTGGACAATCAGGGCACACCTGCTTCTCCAAGGGAGAAAGAGGCTTCAGAGATCCCGCGGATGTCCGGGCCGACAGGGCCGTTCTGCCCCGGGGCTCCTTAGCTATCTGACACGGGCGTCACTCCAAGGGCTCTCAAGCAACACTTAACCACTCTGAGCCTCAGTTTCCCTCATTCTGGGAACCAAAACATAAAGGCTCACAAGGTAGATGTGCGGATAAGTAAGATCAGTCTAGTGAAATTATTTTGTGGATATCTGGAATCAAAGAAACAGACAGTAACAAGTGCTCACAAGAATACGAAGAAATTAGAATTCTCCTGCACTGCTGGTGGGAAGGCAAAATAGTGCGGCTATGTTGGAAAACACTCTGCTGGTTCCTCAAAATGTTAAAGAGAGTCCCCCCAGGGCCAGCAATTTCACTACTAAGATCAGCCCAAGAGATATGAAAACATACGTCCACACAAAAACGTGTGCATGTGACTGTCTGTAGCAGCGTTATTCCCAGTAGCCAAGAGGTAGAAACAACCTGAATGTCCCTCGACTGAGGAATGCGCAAATAAAATGTCGTCTATCCTCACGATGGAATCATACTCAACAATAAAAAGGAATGAAATTCTGACATACGCTACAGCATGGAGAAACCTTCAAAACATGCTAAGAAAAGAAGCCAGGCTGGGCACGGTGGCTTGCGCCTGTCATCCCAGCACTCTGAGAGGCCAAGGCAGGAGGATCGCTTGAGGTTAGGAGTTCAAGACCAGCCTAAGCAAGAGTGAGACCCCGTCTCTACAAAAAATAGACAAATTAGCTGGCCGTGGTGGCGCACACCTGTAATCCCAGATACTTGGGAGGCTCAGGCAGGAGGATCGCTTGAGCCCAGGAGTTGGAGGCTGCAGTGAGCTGTGATGACGCCACTGCACTTGAGCTGGGGTGACAGAGCGAGACGCTATCTCAAAAAAAAAAAAGGAAAGAAAAGAAGCCACAAAGGCCATATAGTGCATGATCCCATTTATATGAAATGTCCAACATAGGTAAACCCACAGAGACAGAGAGCAGACTGAAGGTCATCTAGAGCCGGAGTGCTGGGGGAAGTGAGGATTGACTGTTAATGGGTATGAATTTTCTTTTTGGGGTAATGAAAATGTCCTAAAATCAATTGTGGTGATGGATGCACAACTCTCTGAATAGACTAAGAACCACTGAAGTGTAGACTTTAAATGCACGCATTGTATGGTATCTGAATTACACTCAGTGAAGCTGTTACCTAAAAAGAAGACGTATCTCGTACAACTGTAAACTAGTTCCCAAAGCATTACTGCTGTGGCCTGGATAAAACACTGGGGTAGGGCATGGACGCTGGCATCTGGTGACCCAAGTCTGACTCCTGTTTCTGCCACTGACTAGCTGACCTTGGGCACGTTATTCAACCTTCGGGTGCCCCGGAAATGAGGAAAGAAGTGTGTTGTCTACCTCGGACGCTGTCGTGAGGATTAAACGGTCACTACATACAAAGCGCCTGGAATATGCCCGGCACTCAGGAAGCGCTAACGACATGTGTTCTAATCCCTGTTCCTCCTACAATCTGTCACAAGCCCGCCAGGTGCCGGACACTCAGCATCGCCTCTGTCCATCGTCTAAATAAGTTCTCAGATCCCACCTCCTTCGTCAGGAAGCCTGCCGCACTGGGGAAAAGAGGAGTGATCAGCAAGCGCTCAGACAGCTGGCGCGAGGTCACCAGGGGAAGTGAAGGGCAGAGGGCGGGGCGGGGGTGGAAGAGCGGAACAGGCGCGCGATCTCCCCACACCCGGGCTCGCCTGGGGAGCAGAGTGAGGCTCTTCCAGCCCCGTTCCTCCCCGCTCCTGCCCGGCACAGGTTGAGCGCACGGGGCTCAGTACCAGTCCAGGGTAAGTGGCTGGGGCAGGCATAACAACAGCCCCCAGCGACATCCATGCCCTAATCTCTGGAACCCGAGAATACGCTGCCTTATGTGGCAAAGGGGACTTTGCATATGTGACTCGGTTAATGATCTTGAGATGGGGAGATGATCCTGGAGTATCCAGGTGTCGGTGTAACCACAGGGTCCTCATAAGAGCGAGACAGGAGGGTCAGTGTTAGGGACAATGTGGCTCTAAGCTCCAGAGAGAGATGCGAAGATGCTACACTGCTGGCTTTGAAGATGGAGGAAAGGGGCTGGGCGCGGTGGCTCACGCCTATAATCCTAGCTCTCTGGGAGGCCGAGGCGGGCGGATTGTTTGAGCTCAGGAGTTCAAGACCAGCCTGAGCAAGAGCAAGACCCCGTCTCTACTAAAAATAGAAAGAAATTAATTGGACAACTAAAAATATACAGAAAAAATTAGCTGGGCATGGTGGCGCATGCCTGTAGTCCCAACTACTCGGGAGGCTGAGGCAGGAGGATCACTTGAGCCCAGGAGTTTGAGGTTGCTGTGAGCTAGGCTGACGCCACGGCACTCACTCTAGCCCGGGCAAAAGAGTGAGACTCTGTCTCAAAAAAAAGAAGATGGAGGAAGGGGACCCAAGCCAAGGATTGCAGACAGGGTCCCAAAGCTGGAAAAAGCAAAGAAGTGGATTCTCTTCTAGAGCCTTCTGAAGGAATGGCGTCTTCTTGACACCTTGATTTTAACCCAGTGAGACCCATTTACGACTCTTGATCTCCAGAACTTTATCCAGTATTATTCATATTGATATTATCCACATGCCTCCACATACTGCATGACACTGTATCCACATGTATCCATAATAAGCCGTGCACAGTGGCTCACGCCTCTGATCCTAGCACTCTGGGCGGCCGCGGCCAAGGTGGGAGGATCGCTTGAGGCCAAGAGTTTGAGACCAGGCTGGACAACATAGAGAAACCCCATCTCTACAAAAAATAAAATATAGCCGGGTGCGGTGGTGTGCACCTGTAGTCCCAGCCACTCTGGAGGCTGAGGCAGGAGGATCACTTGGGGCCACACCTTCTGCCCCGAATGCCCCTCCCCCTCCACAGATCTCTCTGTGGTTGGTTCCTATACTTCATCCAGATCTCAGCTCGGATGTCACCTCCCCAGGGAAGCCTTCCTGACTGCCCCGTCTATTAGACCACCACCCTCGTCTTAGTCTCTCTGTTTTATTTTCTCCATGGCACTTACAAACCGATTAAAAAAAATCTATCTCCTTATGCTAGAATTGCACCATCCCATGAGGAGCCAGCAACCACATGTGGCTGTGTGAACACCTGAGATGTGGCTGGTCTGAGTGGGGACACAGGGTAAGGGTGAAATATGCACCAGATTTTGAAGATGTGGTGGGAAGAAAAGAATGCAAAATATCTCAACAGCAATGTTTACGCTGATTATATGTTGAAATAAAAATATGTTGGATATGCTGGATTCTATAAGATATATTAAAATTAATCTCACCTATTTCTTTTTATTAACATGGCAAGCCACATTATATTTCTATGGGCTGGCACCGCACTAAAAGGTCAGGCCCGTGGGGGCCAAGACCTCATCTGTCATGGTCACTGCTGTCTCCCCAGTGCCCAGAACAGTGCCTGGCACACAGGAGGTGCTCAATAAATAGATCTGCTGAGTGGGTGAACATAGGCCGTTTATATTATCTGCAATTGTATCAGCCCAGCCGCTGCTTTCTAAAGCCTGTTACCCGCCCGCTGCCTGACACAGTGAGGCTTTGCTTTTCTCCGTGTAGCCCGTGTCACGGGGCATGGCACTCTGCACACTGGCCCGTCAACAGGGCTGCAGATTGAGTAAAGAGATAGAACGTGACGGGACAGTGGCCTGTGTCTATGTGATGAGTAGAAGCGACTGAGTGGGGTCCGCTGGGAGGGGGTGTGGGTGGAAGAGAGGTGTGCGCTTTACTGGAGCCTTCTTTGCCGAAAGAAAAAGGGGGGAGGGGGGAGGGAGGAAGGCAGGGTGGGCAGACAGACAAGACCAAGGACATGCTAAGAAGATTTTTGGGGAAATATCAACTTTAAGAGCCTTTGAGGCTGGGGCGGGGGAAGGAATCAGATTGAGTCCCTCCTCTTGCCCAAGAATGCAAAGTAAAGGGGCCTGGGGCTGGGCGGGAAAAGGAGGATTCTGCCCTCAGATTTATGAGAGGTCATGCTGATGTTTATAGACGAGCCTTAGCCCTGAGCACACGGGTGTTTACTTCCTAGCTGATGGTGTTCCAGACGCGACAAGTGCAGTTGGCTGAGAATTTCATCCGGCTTTAGGCCTAGCAGCCTAAAGCCACTAGGGTGTCTCCCAGCCCAGCAGAACCAGAGAGGGGGTGGGGCGAGGTGTAGGTACCAGGACTCCTGTGTGACCTGGGTCAAGCCCCTTAGTCCCTGTTAAGAAGAGGCAGCCGCGTGGGAGGATTCCAAGTGTCCCTTCCCTCCTCCACCCTCTAGGAGAGATGGAGGCATCTGGGGTAGGAGGAGGTATGCCTGGGGTGGCCATGGCTGCCCAGTATCAGCCTGTGGGCACCTCAGTTAAAGTATCTCTAGGCCTAAAAATAACAGTTAACATTTGTAAAGTCCTTGGTATGGGCAGGCTCTGTCCTGAGCACTTTATATATATTAACTCCATTAAGCCTTGCCACAATTCTACAAGGTATGTACTATTAGTACCCCATTTTACAGCTGAGGAAACTGAGGCACAGAGAGGCTGTGGAATTTGCCCGAGATCACACAGTCCACAAATGGTGGATTCGAAACCAGGCTGTCTGGCTCCAAAGTTCCCACTCCTAGGAGTCTTTAATTACCAGACTGAAGCATTTTCAAGCTCCCACTGTGACCTTGGAAATGCTGCCCAGCTCCTGGGAGCCTGAGTTTCCTTCCTGACCCCAGGGCGTAGGGACCTAGGAGGATGATGCCTTGAAACCTGGCAAAAGTGCTGTTAAGCGCCCATGATCTGCCCTCAGGTTAAGGCTGCAGACCCAGCTCTGGCCATTTTCCCTGAAAACACACAGATCATCAAAGTACACAATAGGCGACGGCCCGCCAGGGAGGTTCAGAGAAGCCAGTTCTATTTCCTGAGGCCACACAGCAAGCCAGGGACCGCTCAGGCACCCCAATCTCTCAAGGAAAGGTGTTTCCTCCCATTCTCAGTCTGAAGGGCCTGCCGGGAGCATCCCTGGGCTGAGGTCAGGGCAGGAAACCACATGTCTCCCACTTCCTCTTCCCCAGGAACCTCGTCTGGACTCCCTGCCCAGGGGGAGGCCCCGATTCAGACAGATTCCTGTTCCCAGGCGAGAGGCTTAGCCTCACAGCTGCCTCAAATCACCCCCTTGCCCCAATTCAAACAGCGCGGGGAGGAGACACTGGGGCTGGGACCCTCTCACCACTAACTTGGGCCAAATCCCCCCACCCCCGGACTCTTCCCTCAGTTTCCTCATCTGTGAAATGAAGATAATTCCTACCTCACAGTTCTGTGAGGACTACAGATGAAATCAAGGAGGGGAAGGCACCCCCGGGCACAGGTTAATCAACTAGGGGGACCCTGGGAAGAAAGCTGCAATATGAACTCAGAGACTGGGCTCAGTGTACGCTCACTGGCTCTATGTCACATTCCCCTTGCTCTGGGGGGGCTGGGGGTGGGGTGGAGAAAGGGGCCTGGTGTCACATCTTCTTGGGTCTCACTGAAGGGCAGGGGCCTCATTTCATTTCTGGAAAAGAATAGTAATATCTAAGCACTTCACCTATATCACCCCATTTCATTCTTATAAGATGATCACCATTTGACAGCTGAGGACATAAGGCACAGAGAGGTTAAGTAACTTACCCAATGTCACACAGCTACTAAATGGTAAAGGTGGGATTGGAACTCAGGTCTGACTCCAGAGAACTGCTCTGAATCTCTCGGGCGGTATATGCCAAGGGCCTCCCTCCCTCACCCAGTCCAGCACCCTCTTGTCTAGTCCCTGTATACACATGTGTGCGCACCCCCAGTTGCCCAAAGCTGAAGGGCCCTGGCGTCCCAGCGGCCCCATTGCCCGGATGGGCAGACTGAGGCTGCTGCCCACCTTCCGATGCTTGCGCTCCTTCTCGATGCGGTCCATCCTCTCCAGGCGCAGGCGGTCCAGCTCCAGGCGCAGCTCGTCCAGCTCGGGCGCGACGTGGTGGCGGCTGACCAGCACCTCCAGGATCTCCAGGACGCGCACGACCTTGGGCACGAGGCGCGCGATGGCCTCGAAGCCGTGCTGGTCGATGACCCGCTCGAACTCCTGGCCCACGAGCGACGCGATGGCGTACACGTCCGTGACGGTCAGCTCGGCCACGTTCTTCTCCAGCGCCGACTCGGCCGCCAGCGCCGACCCCCGCTCCTCGTCCATGGCGGTGCTCCCGGCCTCTCCCGCACCCCGCAAACTAGTGCAACTCCCAAACTTGCCGCTGTCGAGGGCAGCGCCGGGCCGGGCCCACCCAGGCGCCGCCGGCGGCCGCGCTCAGCCTGCCCGCGGGCGAGGGCGCACCGGGGCGGCCGGCGTCGGCATGGGCGGGGGCGGCGGGCGGGAGCCGAGGTCAGCGCGCCGGGCCGCGGGTCTGGGCGCCCGGCTCGGCCCGAGCCTGCTCCCGAGTGGGGGAGGGGAGGGGGAGCAGGAGGAGGAGGAGGCGAGGAAGGCGCGCGCGTGCGCAGGCCCGCGGCGCCTCCCAAGTTGGGGATCCGAGTTGGGCGCAATGGAGGCGCGGGGTCCAGCCGGAGCGGGGCCCCGCTGCCCGCGGAAGCAGTTCTCGCCCAGGGGCGCCCCCGCGCCGGGGCCGGGGAGGAAGGGCGGCGCGCGGCTCCGCCGGGAAACTTTGGCGACGGCGGCGAGGCCGGGCGGCCGGCTCCCCCCGCGGGGATGCCAGGCGCCCCGCCCCGATCCCGGCCTGGCGAGGGGCGCGCCCGCCTTCCGCCGCCCGGGGGCGCCCCGCGGTCCCCACCGGCCCCGCGCCCCCACTGCCCACTCGCGGCTGCTCCCCAGCCCCCACTCCAGACCCCCGGACGCGCGCCCCCCCCTCCCGCCGGTCCTGCTCCTCCCGCCCCCCGCCGGGGGCTCGGCGGGCCCGGAGGCGGGGGGAGCTGAGCGGCGCTTGTCTCGCTGGGCAGTTCGCGGCTTCGGGGAGCGGCCCCTGCCCGGAAGAGGAACGGAGGCGCACGGGTGGACTGCGGGATGGGGCTCATCCCGGGGACAAAGCGGGGACCCCTCCCGCAGGCCCTCCCCGCCGCCCCGGTCACCCGGCGGACCCGGCGGCGCCCGGCTCTGCGCTCCGGCAGAGGCGCCAGGCGAGGGGCGGACGGTCTGAGAGTTCTCTGTCCCCAAAGCCGCCGGTGCCCCGCCCGCCGAGCCACGTCCATTAGCGGCTCCCTGTGACATAAACGCCGGTTCGCAGCGGAGCGAGGCCGGCGTGTGCATCTCAGCACCGCCGGTTCTCCTGCCCCGAGCCCCTGTTCTTTGGGACTGGCTAGAGCCACTTGTCCCTCAGACCCCATCCCACCCGCAGGAGAGCCCTCCCTGAACCCACAACCCCCGTGCACCCTCCTGTCCCCCCACGCCTGAGTCAGGGACCCCCAAACCCCGCAGTCCGCGCTTCCCCCATCAAAGCCGCTCTTGGCGCCCTGCGTTTATCATGTGGTTAGGTGCGCCTCCACCTCCTGACTGTTAGCTCCTCGAAGGCAGAGGTCTTAAGGCCCCTGTGGCCATAATGCACACCCAACCTCGCCTAGATTGACTAAAATTCAAAAAGAAGTTAAAATGTATTATTCGCTTCACATTTAAAAGTAAGGTAGTATTTACTGTGTGCTGAGCATTCTTCTAAGCGTTTTATAAATATTACTCCTTTAATCCTCACTCCACAGGTTCCCAAAGTGCGGCCTGAGGACTGCTGGGAGTCTCCGACAGCCAAAGGGTCTCTGCGAGGCTGTCACGGTTTGCAGCTGTGCCCAGCGTGAGGCTGGGTGTTCTGCGTATACTTGCCTCGAAACAGCCTATGGGAGAGGCTGAAAGCAGAGGCAGGTTTGGGGACCCAGCTCCGTTCTGATTAGCTGGACATCAGAGACCCGCAGAAACACGGAACGGTACCGCTGTTCGAAGTATTTGTCGTTTGTTTATTTTGGAGCCCAGAGTTATCTTTATTAAAAAAATACATATGGTAGCCGGGCACAGTAGTGTGTGAGTGTAATCCCAGCTATTAGGGCAGGAGGTCCCTTGAGTGCAGGAGTTCGAGTCCAGCTTGGGCAACATAGGGAGACCGCCTCTCTAAAAATAACCAAGTAATAAAATAAAAAATAATTATGTTAACACGTAATGTGTCTACTATTTTTAAATTAATATTTTTTAATTAGCCAGGTGCAGTGGTGGGCACCTGTAGTCCCAGCTACTCAGGGGGCTGAGGCAGGAGGATCGCTTGAGCCCAGGAGTCTGAGGCTGCAGTGAGCTATGATCACACCACTGCACTCCAGCCAGGGCAGCAGAGAGAGACCCTGTCTCAAAATATATATATATATATATATTTTGAAGGCATCAGTTTAAATTTCTAATTACAGTAGATATAACCCACATAATGAAAACTCTTGCAATAATTTTTAAGTGTATAAAGAGGTCCTGAGACCTAAAAGTTTGAGAACTGTTCCTTTACAACATCCATATTTTACAAATGGGGAAACCGAGGCACAGAAAGGTTAGACAACTCATTTAAGGCCAGGCAGCTGGGAGACGTAAGTCCGGGATCAGACCTGTGCAGTCTGGCCTCAGGTTTGTGCCTAAACAGCTCTTCCTTGTTGCGGACACGTGCTAAGCACTATACACCCACCTAACCCTCACGGCAACCCAAACGGAGTGGACATGTTAATACTTCCCTTCTAAGGCAGACAGGGCATGGGGAGGTGCGTTAATTTCCTGTAGCTACTGTAATAAACTGCCACAACCTTGGTGGCTTAAAACGACAGAAACTTTTTCTGTCTTCCGGAGGCCAGAAGTCCAAAACGGGAATGTCAGCACCGGCACATTCCCTCCAAGGGCCCCAGGGGAGGGTCCTTCCTGGCCTCTTCCAGCTTCTGGTGGCTCCAGGTGTTCCATGGCTTGTGGCTGCATCCCTTCAGTATCTGCCTGTTCCCACATCACCTCTCCTACTTTCCTATGTGTCTGTCTTCTGTGTCTTTTTTTTTTTTTTTTAAGATAGGGTCTTGCTCTGTCGCCTGGGCTAGAGTGCAGTGGCATCATCATAGCTCACTACAGCCTCGAACTCCTGGGCTCCAGTGATCCTCCTGCCTCAGCCTCCCAAGCAGCTGTGACTACAGGCGTGTGCCACCACACTCAGCTGATTTTTTCTATTTTTAGTAGAGACGGGATCTCACACTTGCTCAGGCTGGTCTCTAACCCTGACCTCAAGCAATCCTCCTGCCTCAGCCTCCCAGAACGCTAGGATCACAGGTGTGAGCCACCTCGCCTGGCTTTCTCTGTGTCTTTTATAAGAACATGTGTCATTGGATTTTGGGCCCATCCAGGTAATCAAAGATGATCTCATCTCAAGACCCTGAATTTAATAACATCTGTAAAGACCGTTTTTTCAAATAAAGTCACATTTACAGGTTCTAGGAATTATGATGAAGGTATATATTTCGGGGGGAGGCAGGCAGGGGTCCACCATTCAGTCCCCTACAGAAGGATAAGTCACTTGTCCCACAGCTAAGAGGACGAAGCCAGGAGTTGAACCTGGTGGGTGCCTATGGTAAATGAAAGAAGAAATAGTAAGCTGCCAAACTGGGGCAACTTGCTCCTTCAAGACAGTAAATATGTACCAGAGTCCACTGGGAGGGGGGACAAAGATTAAGGAGCCACAGTGCCAGCTGCATCCTGTGCCTCAGGACAGGGGCAGGAAAGGGGGCGGAGGGTGTGGGAGATGAAAATTACTTTAAGGAGGGAATGGGGGGGCAAAAGTCCAAGGTGACCCCCAAATGGTGATCTGAGTGCTTAGAAGAATGGTGACAAAGTAGGAGAGGCAGTTGACGCTAGTGGTTAAGCATTCAGAGCCACCTCTCTGCACTAATTTGTCACCATTGCTGACTAGGTGTGGGACTTCAGGCAAGTCCCGTGACTTCTTGGTGCCTCAGCTTTCCCTCTGTAAAATGGGATGATAATAGTACCTAGTTCAGGGGGTAATTGTGGTTATTAAGTGAATCAAGGTATGCCAGCCACACAAAGTGCTATCAAACAGTTGTTTATTATTACTAATTATTATTATCATTGAAACCTAGGGGAGATATCCTGTATGGGTGTAGGTGTAAATGTCCAGTTGGCAGCTGGAAATGTGAACCTAGAGCTCAGAGCTAAAGAAGCTGATAAGATCTGCATTGTCATTCATTCATTCATTCATTCAATACACATTTAGCTCTTAATATGCGCCAAGTAGCGTGCTATCCTGCGGGGTCTGGCGATATGCCTGAGAGACAGGATTACTGCTCTCTTGGGAAACAGAGAGTAAGGAAGGTAAAACCAGAAATAAACTAATTTCTGATAGAGCAAGAGAAGGTTAAGAAAGGGGAAGAGAATCAAGAAATTGGCATGTCAAGGAAGCCAGGTAGGTGTACCAACCAACACTTCAATTGTAAGAGTTCCAGACACAGTATCTTTTCACCTATGGATATTTTGATACGTGTTTCTAAAACATATTGAAACTCTATATCCATAATACCATTAGCACACTTGAAAAAAGTAACAGTAATTTCTTCCTATCAAATATCCAGTGTGTTCAAAATGCCAAGTATCTCAATTTGTTTTTTTTATTCTTTTTTCCTCTGTGAGTCTGAATCGTCAATTTATTTTTTATACAATAGTTCATTTAACTCAAGATCAAAATAATATCCACATATTGCAATTGGTTAATATCTCCCTTAGTTTCTTTTCATCCTCCATCTATTTTTTTTCCTTGCCTCAAAATTTATGTTGATGAAACAGACATAATGCAAAGACAAAAATCTCAGTCTGGAGTTTGCTAATTTCATCACTGTGATGTCCCTGTATTTTCTGTAAACTAGTAGTTGGATCGAGAGGTTTGATCGGGCCAGGTGCAGACTTCATGCCTGTAGTCCCAGCTACTCGGGAGGCTGAGGCAGGAGGATCTCTTGAGCCCAGGAGTTTGAAGTTGCAATGAGCTTTGATTGGGCCACTGCACTCTAGCCTGGGCGATAGAGCAAGACTCTGTCTCTAAAAAATAAAAAAAGAAAAAAAAAGAAATTTGATCAGATTTGAGTTCGGTTTATTTGGTGGTAGTGTGTTCTAGCATTTTTATTTTCTCTCATATGTCATGTGATAATAATAACCCTTTATGGTGTATAACTCAATGGTTTTTAATATATTAACAAGGTCATGCAACCTTCACCACTCTCTGATTTCAGAGCATTTTCATGTTCTGGATTTCATGCCCAGCTTTGTACCCACTAGTAGTCACTCTCCATTCCTCCCGGCCCCACACACGGGCCCAGGGCAGCAGGGCGCTGCTGGGCGTGAGTCAGCAGGCTGAGCCTGCGGTGGCAGCGGTGGCGGGGCCGGCGGGCAGCGGAGGGAAAAGGAGCTGGAGAGGGAACCAGAAATGGACC